AAGCTCTTACGCGTTTTAAAGTTTTATTCCTTTCGCTTTTCATAACTTCCATTTTTAATAAATTGAAAATAAATGTTAACTTTAGATCAAAGAGTAAAACCTCATGCGTAAGATCGTCGGTCAAATGCACACTGGCTGCTAGTAATATTATTTTAGTGAACATATTATCTACATCGATTAAAGATTATCAATATTCAATACTTATGTTTAAATTGTGCAGCCGACCGGAAATCGGAATATCCCAGGCCGCAATTCACGTAGGTATATATAAAATATACCCAGGCCGTAATTTACATAGTATGTGACTATGACCTTTTTTGGGGGCCGTTTTCGACCAAAAACGTACCCTTCCCTTTTCGGCCAAAAAAAAAATTGCTGCTATATAGTTTTTATAAGTTGCATAAAATGTTGTTAACTAATGTAAGTATAGAACATTTTTAAAATATGAGAATATTAATATATTAACATTATATTTTTATGTTAATGTGTACAGTATTTTATAAAAAAAATTAAAAATGTTGTCAATAATTATTGTGTATAAAAGTAGTGTGTATAATGTATATATAAAAAATAAACTATCAGGTATAGAATTGTAGTAAAATTATTATTATTAACAATATAATTGATGATATACGTATACTATATGTTCTAGAAAATTATTAAAAGAATAGGTTGCATAAAATGTTTAAAATTATTTAAAAAATAAATTATGTTAACATATCACAAACCTATTCATATTATGGTTTAAAATAATTTATAAATCACAAAAAAAAAAATGGCATAAGGTTACCTATAAAATTATTATGTTCTGTCATTGTCTGATTTTTGTTAGCTCTGATTCATTGCGTTTTAAAATATTTGTTTTGAAACTAACTTAACAAAATCATACTTAAAAATGTGATTTATACATAATGTTTATTATTATATATTATTTTTTTTTTCGCATATATTATATAAATTTTTGTTTTGGCAGAAAAGGGAATCAGTCTTTTGAATTTGGTCGAAAAGTGAATTTACCGAAAAGGGAAGGGTACGTTTTTGGTTGAAAACGGCCTCGCCCCAATTTACAGACTCCGAACTTGGTAACCCATTATAAACATTCTTTATGATACTCGAATTGAATATTGTAATAATGTACGTTTGTTCAACATTTAATACAAATTTTAACTAAATTTAATTAATGTTTATATAGCATTGAGAATTTATTCTAGTTTCATTGTTTAAAAATAAATACTTTGTATAGTTTTATTAAATCCTGTTTTCTGAATCTTTCAATTCGACTCGGCCTAAATATTTATAGAAGTTTTAACATTGGGCAATGCTATGTGGGATATTAATTGGTGATTAGAATGGTTAAGTTGGGTAGCAGGGCTTGAAACCAAAAACATTTCCTCTTCGGTTTCGATATCAATTTTGGGCTTTTATGGTTCTAACCGGTATTCAAAATAAGTATACCATGTCGATTTCAACTTTCAAGCCCTGAAATAAAGTTCACCAATCTTATGATTTTCTTTGTCGAAATTATAAACGATATGGGTTATTCATTGCCTTTTGTTTAAATTATCATCGTATTTCTTCAGCTGCAACAAACCTGTTGACACTGGATTTACCTTTTCATTCAGCTCTCGAACATGGCAATGATGTGATTGTATTTAAATTCTGATTACATTGTTTTGGAATCAATTCATTTTCTTCAACAAACTCTCTTTACCTTGAAAAGCTTCAATGTCATCAAAATTAAATGTCTTCCATTTTTTTCAAAGTTTTAATGCCTTAATTCATTTACTTCCAAAACTTCCAGTGTTTGTTTTGTATCCATCCAGTAATGAAATATCACTCAACAATTGATAGTCTTCATCGTCGTAACTTGAACGTGCGTATTATTCTTCTTTCTCAATATTTTTAATACGATTTTTTTCAAATCTAAAAATATTCATCCTTAATATAATTATTCTGTAAAATAGTTATTTATTCATACAATTGTTTTTCGGGAATCATAGTTATATGCTAAGCCTTCTTATTTTCATTGAACGTTTTTGCTAACTTAGGATTTACCTGTTAATTTGATTTCTTGGCCCATGGTGATTTTGAAATGGAAACGCTGCAAATGATTTACTGTCTTTATCATGTCTTGCAGATCTTTAATTAAATTCTCTTTTGGAATCTTCCGTTTTCCTTTGAATTTTTTCATAATTTAATGTATTATGAGCGTTAAACAAGTCTAGCACTTGCATTTGAGAAGTTGTTACAATGGGTTCCACCTTTAGCGCATCACGCTTAGTACTGATCGTTTTTAATTCATAAAAAATTAACCGTTTCGCTGAATGGGTCATGCCATGAAAAACGTCTTTCAATTCTACTGTGTCAAACTGAGGTAATAACATCAATTTCTTTTTTCTGTTACCTGGGGTATCTCTTTTGTAGAGTCTTTTGAATTCATTGAAAACACTTTTTCCAAAATATGGGATCTCGTGTAATGCACTTTTTCAAACGTTAGTTCTTCCCTTTGCTTTGGGTCTATGTCACTATCTATTAGTTCCATTAGTTTTGTCTTGTTTGTGTTTATTGTTAGACCATTTTTTTTTTTTGTATGACATCACTGTCAACGATTCCATTAGGCAAGTAGCGAAACTCAGGACCAGTTCAAGTTAACCATGTTATAGGTAAAGCACTATTACTCCCTGTAATCCGGGTATAACACAATCATCCTCCTTGAGGAATCCAATGGAGAAAAAATACCAGAAATTGTTATATTAATTTTAGAGGATGTCTGCGTATTTTTTTTTCTTTTCTGTCTGGCCATGTGCAACATAGACGTAACAGAATTTATTTTTTTTTTTTTAATGTTTTTGCTATATTTGAGTACAACCACCCATTACAAAAATTATTGATAAAATATTTTTCATGGTATGACTTATCGATTTATCTAAATACTATTTCAAAATAATTTAAATCTACAACATTTTGTTTGTTTTTTTAAAGTCTAATGCAGAGTCAAAAAATAATCTTCTATGTTTAAAAATGAATCCCTTTTTCCCCTGGTCACCGGATCACGCATGGATGGCTGGACCGATTTCGCTAATTTTTTTTTTTTTTTGTATTTGTTTATGTTAATGGAATTTATTTGTTCTTTTAAAGAAAAAATTAAGAAAGTTATACGGAATGAACAACAAAAATATGTTTACTATATACGCTAATGACAGTAATGAACGATGGAACTGGCGAATATTTTATCTTAGAATGCTCCCGGTGGGATTAGGAAAATATATTATATAATGTCATTGATTTTGAGTAGCTACATTTTTTTGGCTAACTTTTTTTCTAGCTGAACCGACAGACATTGTCCTGTCTTAATCATGAATATTGAACTCAATTGGTATGATTAATAGAAAAAAAAAGTGTTTATTATTCTAATACTTAATGATATGCAAAATTTTTAGTATTTTTTTCTTGCCTGTATACCGTGTGTCCGGTAGACCGGTGTCTGATAAATCAGACTCTGTGTTAACCGATTCTTTAATTCAGGAAGTGACGAAAGTGCAACGAGCGGAGTTCATACTACAGGGATGTTGGTTGATTTAAATGAAACCCTGAGAAATAGCATACTTGATACAACCAACATCATGTCAAACCAATTTGATGTCAAAATTGCCAAGGTACTTAATATCATTAAAAATTTCTAAAACTTCGTACTGATGTTAAGCAGGTTTAAATTAAAAGTTTCTTGGGATGATATTGTTATTTTTGGGTGAGACCCAATTTTTCACTTGTGGCTCTGGAGATTGATTTTAAACACTTTTTTGTAAATACTTGTAAAAAGAGATCCAATATTGGATCTCATTTTTTTTATGTTATATTGTAACAATGATAATAAAATTAACTAGGTAAGTTACATTAATAGTTAACTATTTTTTAAATAATAACAAATAAAATAATCTTTATACTTGGCTTTATAATAAAAACAAATAAAAATATTTTTTATAACTGAATAGTAACATTTTTTTTAAATTATAATAAGAAAAGTAACTTATGTTAGTTATAGTGTCAAAACAAAGCAAAATAATCTGTATAATAAAAACAAAATAAAATTATTTCTATAACTGGATAATTGAATTTTTTTAAATTATAATAATAACAGTAACTCATGTCTCATTTTTTTATAGTAAAAACAAAATAAAATACATTTTTATAACTACCTTTATTATACAAAATAAAATAAACAAAACTAACAAAACAAAATAATTTGTATTAACGGCTAATATCATATTTGTAGCATAATAATAATAATAAAACTGTCTTTTATTTTATTTTAGGTATAATATGGTGGTGTATATCAAAAAAACATCTTTGGCATAAAACTTTGTCACATACAGTGCATTTTGTGGACACTTTAGTACAATATACTTGTGCATATTTTCTCCCCTCTTCTTCTTTCATTTTTTTGTAGCATACACAACATCTACTACGTTTACACTTTTGTAGCTTATGTTTTTCAGCTGATGGAGATTTTGGGATTACTGTCTTTTTGATTGAGCTTTCATCTAATGAAGACCGGAAATATGTAATACTCGTTGTACTTTTAGTAGTCAAGTTAAACAAACATGCAGCATTAACTATACTCCATTCAGTTTAAGTTGACCCGCTTTCGCGCATGCATACTGAGCCGCCGAAACAGTCTGACCCCCCTGGTCGGTGAATGGTATTCGGTGATTGGTCGCTGCCGTCGCCGATCATCGTTTACGATCGGAGTCAACAGCTGCCGCCAGGCATACGACATTGTATACAGAGTATTAAAAAGAATGTCTTGCTTTTATCTTTTATGTATTTATTTTTCATAATATCTTTAGTATTATTCTTTAGTATACACATTTTTTTTCAATTTTAAAACATCGTCATATTTACATACATTTTATACAATTTTTAAAACATCGTCATAATATTTACATTCACATTTTATACAATTTTTAAAACATTGTCATATATTTACTGATTATGTGATTTTAGTCAGATTCGGACTCAGAATCTGACGATGTGTCACCGGTAATTGTCAATGTCAAATTTGATGTTTCCGCTGCCAACACTTCGTCTACAATATTGTCAATTTCCCAAAAAAATTTTTCTTCTTTTATTGTATACTGTATAAAGTTTTTCCACATTACTTGATCTACTCGTTCTATACCCTCTAATAATAATTTTTTTACATCTGGTAATTTAAAAGTACTATTATTCATTTTTACTTGATTCTTAATAGATGACCACGCGAGTTCAATGGGATTGAGCTCGCAGTGGTAAGGAGGTAGTCTCAAAATTGTTTTATTACTAGCTTTGGCGAGTTCGTCTATCACATACTTGTTATGAAGTGGCTTGATTCTTTTAACAATTTCCAATAATTCTGGGATAACCATGGTATAATCAACGACCTCGCCTTTATCTTCTAACCATTTTATTATTTCGGCCTTCCTTGTAGACGATGTCGGTGATTTGTCTTTCTTTACCGAGTGATTTACGCTGTCCGTCACTATAACACAGTTGTCTCGCAGTTGAGGTAAAATGTTTTCCATCCAATCATAAAATGTCTGACCGTTCTTCTCATCATGATAATCCCATGAATTTTTTTTCGATTCAAAACATAACAACCCACCGGGAACAAATCCATCTTCGGAACCGATGTGTAGAACAATATGGCGTTTACCTTTGCCACTTGGAGCCGGAGCACCGGCTGTGAGCCCCTTAAGGAATGCATCACGGTGGGATTGTATTGTTGAATCTACACATACCTTATTTGGGCATTCGCCAGCATTTACCCATGTCTCGTCTAAATAATAAATGTGACGACCCTGTTCTCGGTATTCTCGTATTGCCCGTAAATATCGTCTACGCCATACAACGATTTCGTTTTTTTCAGTTAGAGCACTATTACGACTGCGCTTACAATAACGGAAATCCAGATCTTTAATAAGTTTGAACAAATTAGTTCGCGATATAGCCGGTAAACTTTTGTCATCAGAAACTTTTTTATCGATGGTTGGAATTTCACGTCGAAACCAAATATTATGGACATGTCTACCGACTGCGTTTCTCGAAAAGTCATCGTATAAATGGAAAACATTTTCTCTTACCCTTTTGCGTTTCGGAGAAGTCACTGTACATGATTCCTTGTATTCATTAATTGTCCTGTGCACAGTTGACTCGCCAATTCCCATATTTTTTGAAATTATCTGTCTCATACTCCTCATGGACATGTTGGGATCTTCCTCCAAATTTGCCTTGTACATGTTTATAATCCTTAAACGTTCGGAAGAACTAATTATCTAAAAAAAAAATGTACGTTTAGTACATTAGTACCAATAGTTCAGGAAATATATTGAAAAAACATGTTGTACAAGTTAAACAAAAGAAATAAATGAAAAAAACGAATAAAAAATAGGACTTAACATCTAATACTTTAATATATTTTGCAAAATACTCACTTTCCTCGTTTATTTTTTTTTATTGGTGATGGAAATAATTTGACTGACGGGCCTGCAGTCTCTGTGTTGCCACTTTTATCCATTGTTACAAATAAATTGTAGAATAAAATAAAAATTAGGTTTCAATAAAATGTTTAAACGAATCAGCGGAGTGTACAGGAATATACGTGTACGCGCGGAGTAGCAATAACGTTGTGTTAATTTAACTCACGGTGTATAGTGTCATATTCACCAGGTGGAAATGCGACATTGGACACTAACGCTGCGAGACATGCGCGACCAAAACCAGTTTTCGTCTGACGAGTATGTCTACTTAAACTGAATAGAGTATACACCAACATTTAATAATAAGTCAATAAAAACTTTTCTATACCATTTCATAGTTCTCCGTAGTGGATTAGAAAAAGAAGCCTTTTGGTCTGACAAATCAATACAGCCTTTCTCTTTGTTGTACATAATAACTGATTCTGGTTTTTGAGATGCTTTCTTATGTTTAGTTATATTTATCATTTAATTTGTTGATTTGGTACTGCACATATAAATATCTCTCTTGTCCTTCCTTTAAAACCATTACATTACTATCACTTCTTAATGAATTCTGTTGACCTTTTTTAATTTAGAATTAAAAACTTCCTTAGGGTTTGATTTTCTATTTGACCTTAATGTCCCAATACAATATGTTTTTCGTTGTCCAAGTTGTTCTGCTAATTCTATAGTAGCACGTTCGCGGTCACTTCACTATTTAATATTTTTCAAGTAACTTCCTCAGAGAATCACTTTTATATTACTGCTATAGCAGTAATAACTTATTTAGCATTAAAAATATACTAATATTGAAATGATCACAACACCTATTTTATTACTTTTCAGAATATATTTTTATTATTAATAATTAATTCTTCAAAATATATGCAACTACTTTTTATGAGTAAAAAATACATTATAATTATATTGCACAAAAAAAGAATCTATAAAAAGTATAAGTATATGAATAATAAAATAATAATAATAATAAAATTAATGCTTTATATAATATTATCCTTGTGCCATTCTTCGAAGCACTTACCAGGGCATAAAGGTTTACCACAACTTTTGCATTGGAATGATTGTTTTCTTATTTTCGTCTTATAGCACTGCTTACAGTTTTTGAAGTATGTTTCTTTTTTAAAATTTGGCGGACGAGATATTTTTTCTGAGTAATGATTATTTTCAGGTGCTGCTTTTTTTGTCTTTGAAAAGTTCTGCTGCAGTAGTTTCTATTGGAAGACCAATTACATTTTTGATGAGTAAATCACGGAATTGCTTAAAGGTAGTGTTTCTTACACCAAACTTTTTGTTAAAAATAAAATACGAATTCCAGGCGGTTATGTCGAGCAAATGAAATAGCACCGTTTTATACCATTTAGCGGCTTTTCTGGGACACGAGTAATAGCTTACCATCTGATCTGAACGATCTATACCACTCATAAAATCATTGTAGTCCTTTATCTCTATAGGTTTATTTTTTTCGCCCCCATATCTATTTGTTGTGGATACGATTTTCGGGTGATTTTTACTTGTAATACAGAGCACGTCTCTTTTATCTTTCCACTTTGACACATACACATTTTTATTGCGTCTCCAATCTCCATACATATTCACCAGGTTTTAATTTTTTGGCAGTCACCTCCTTGGGATTTCTTTTGCGATTGCTTCTTCATGTTCCCGTCGAGTGAGTTTTTTTTTCAAGCAATAAATTTGATAACGTGACGCTATTGTAAAAATTATCCATATAAAGGCCATAACCTTTATTTAAATACGGTTTCATTAGATTAATAACAATATTGTCAACTTTTGACAAACCTTCAAGGTTAGGTTCAATAACTGTTGATGACGTATTTTTACCTCTATACATGTCAATATTTAAGACGTATCCGTCATGTGTGTAAAGTTCGTAGAACTTAATTCCATATTTAGCCTTTTTATTTTTAATATATTGTCGCCATGTTAACCGACCACGATGTAGAAGTAAAGATTCATCAAGAGATAAATTTTCATCAGGGAATATAAGCTTTGGAACTTTTGTATAAGCATATCAAAAACGGGATAAATTTTCTTCATGGGACCAACTAATGGATTATCACCTGCATACTGAGCACTAAAAAATCTTAGTAATTTTTCAAACCTTCTTCCTGACATAATATGACTCACAATTGGATGATAGTATAACGGGTTGTCTGAAAACATATCTCTTACGACGGAAAATTTTAATGAGCCACCAAGAAGACACAAACCCAAAAACGTTTGAACTTCTTGCGAACAAGTTGGCTGAAAGTTTGACAACCTGGAACCTTTTTTATGATGACGTTCTAATGTTGACATTCTTTCACCATAATTATTAATATAACTTACAATTATATCAATAATTTCGTTGGTCCAAAATTGTTTGAAAATTTCAATAGGGTTATAACGTGCACATCATTAATTTCAAATTGTATACCAACATTATCTCTACAAAAACTTAAGTCTGGAATATCTGCATACGTTTCTACCCAACAATCAATGTCTAGTTCATCATCATTACAACTATCACTTGAACTTCTGAAGCCGATTCGTCATATGATGAAGAACTCGACAATGATAGTGTACGCGATGAGTCAGCAGAAATAATATTATCATTATTACCTGTAGAAATTGTTTTGTTGATTACTTTCGGTAAATATTCGGGGTCCACATCTGAATCGTACAGTTCAGTAGTGTCGGAATCAAATTCTAAACTTTCATTCAAAATTCTTCGATGTCTTGTTTGGAACGCTTCATTTTTATAACACAAGAATATTGTATGTATGTAAGTAAACATTATGTACGCAAATGTAAAAAAAATATAATATGAAAGTACGAACACGAGTGTCCTACGCACGCAATAGACCACGGATTACTAAAAATATGTGGAAATATATTGTATAATTCGGTTCATACGACGTATAAACTGATAAAAATTATTTTTATTATAATTATTAGGTATGATAGGACGAAATACAAAATACCAATGAGAAATATAAAAATAGAATTGTTTATTTAATTGTGCCCAAACATATGGCTGATCATAATAGGTCAGCCAGATGTATAGTTTCATTTAATACCATTGAAAATAATACTGCATGAACAGTAATGTCCGATTTCGCTAGTTTTGTATATTACTGTTATAGCAGTAGTGACCCATTAAAATTAAATGATAATTGAAAAAAATTGAAATTACTGCTATAATAGCAGTAAATGACCGTGAACGTGCTAGTATACCAATTGTCGATAATAAGGGTCCTTCCAAAATCTAAGTATGGATCTATCAATTCCATTACAACTTTAAATGATACACTTGTTTCCGGAGTAACTTCTTTTCCAGCATACACTTTCAGCTTAATTGTGTAGTTAGGGGGCATACAAAGTTTAAATAACTTAATCCCATATTTGTGTCTTTTGTTTTTTAAATACTGCTTAAAGAATAGTCTACCTGTAAATGGTGTACCATAGATTCATCGATACATAAAGTATTTGACTCAAGACATACAATTATTGGAATTAACCATAATGTCTTCAACTATGGTTCCTAATTTATATAACCGATTTGTTTGATCACTGGTTTCCTTATTAGAATAATGGATCATAGTTGATAAGTTTTGGAACCTATTTCTACTCATAACATTCCCAAAGTTTGTAGAAAATAGGGGGGAACTACTCCAGTACAAGCCAACTTCAGGTAACTGAACTAATCCCATCCATAATACAAGTCCCAACCAATTATGCATTTCTTCTACATCTGTATTTGTCCATTTATACATTCTGCTTTGACTTGAAAACGTTGAACTTAGTTTTTGTAAAGCATATATATTTGTATGTTCTACTAGTTTTTGAATAATATTATCATCGACAATTAATTTAAAAAAATCAAATGTTGAACCTTCTAATAATGTGTCTTTTAAATCAGTGTTTAATCCTATTTCTTCTGAATCAGGGTTGTAAGGATAATTATTGATGTGTCCGTCATCAGCACGCCACACTCGAGAAGTTACAGCTGCAGGTGATCCAACAAGTTTTGGGCGACCTCTTGGCCTTGGTGTTGGTGCTTGATGTGTGATAATAAGACTACTGGTTGGAGAATTATTATTATCTGATTCTAAAACAAATTAGTTCAATTTAAATAATATTTTCAATCGAGAAGCACACATAAACTTAAGTAAAATTATTTAATTACCAGCATCTGAATCAACACCATCATTAGTATTAAGAATACTGTTATTGTCAAAAAAATCAGGATCATTATCAGTATCATCAAAATCACTTCCTGAATCGTCAGAAAATTCGAAGTCTGAATCAACCAATAGAGCATCAATATCTTTATCTCGCAATTGAGACATTTTATATTACGATATGTATGAGTTATTGATTTAGCAATTAGATTTTACACTTAGACAGTTGTCATAAATCATAATAAAATATTAAATAACTTAGCAATAAATAATAATTAGGTATTATTTAATATCACAAACAAAATTCAAAATAATCTGTTATATTTCTTATCATACATTAGCACATGTTCATATAATATGATAAAATTATTTGCACAAGGTGCATTTAGAGCCTATTTAGGTTTTTATCAGTAGTACAATTCGCGTTAAGATCATATTAATATTAAAACAAATGTATTTAGATAAAAAATGTGATAACTCCGGGAAAAAAAATATTTGTGGAGTGCTAATGATATCTAAATAAAGTGGCAACATTGTACATTCTGATTCTGGTATTAGAATCATAATCAATGTTAACTAGTACTCACAGATATCTATACCACAGAATAACCAGAAGAGACACCTTTTCAGTTTAACATGGGTTCTTATGGGGCACAGATTTGCAACACCTGGTGGAATATCAGTGCTGCCGGTAGAAAGATAATTCCCATTATTCTTTGTTTCTAGCGCGACTGTTATTCCCTGAACAGAGGCAATTAGTAATTACCTTAAACGACGATTATAAAGAATCTTTATAATCGTGCTTTAGCCTAACCTAATAAGTAATAAAGTTGTAAGTTGCAAGTTTGCAACTTGCTTACTCGCCTCAGTGTCTTTTGTGTTTATGTTCCAAAATATGAAGTCTGTACTCTGTAAAGTGAATAACTGATTTTTCAATTTCTGTGTTAGTTAATTTTTATTTGAATTATAAAATGTATATTTTAAATTAATAACATAACATTTTTTGTCTAGCATAGGTAAGTGTAGATCATGAAATATATATTTTAGATCATAGGTGCATTGAACAAATAAATCTCAAAATACATTGTAGGTTTAAACAAATTTATTACAATTACATGTATATAATATATTTACAAGTTACAACTACCTAGGTACATATATACAAAAATAAAAAATGTGTATTGTATAATATTAAGTAGGTACTTATACGGTAGATACCTTTATACATATTAGTAATTTTTTTAGTCAATTAATTCTAAAAAGTTGTATAAAATGGTAAAATATGACACAAAATTTAATAATATTAATTATAAATGTTTTAGAATTGATAATTTCCTATTTTTACGTTTAGTTTCAGATAACATTGTTCTATTTAAAAATTTAACACTAGAAAAAATTCTAAAACGAATAAATAATTAAATAATACATTTAAAAAACAAAAATTACGATTAATTTGATTTAATTTCTTAATTAATAAAATAATTAAAACATTAATTTCAAATAAGAGCGCAAAAGTCAAACTGATGTTTTGTAAACAATCGCAGATATATGGACAGCTGATGTCGAAAGTTAGTAAACAAACCCTTATCAGTGTGACCAGACAGAAAGAATTTTACATTTTTATTATATACATGGATACACTGATATTCCACAAAGTTGAACAGATTTTTGAGTGCTCAGCGTGTGTCCATTCTGGTTATTCTGTG